TGTATGGGGTTTGTGTGTGTGGGAGCCACATCAGTCCCTCTCGCGGTGTCTGTGAATGTAACACAATCTTACCTTGGTCCCAATTGTGGTATCCTAGCATTAAAGGTGTTCGATCAATGCGTGCAAAGAAGACACTCTCGAGAAACGTTGATCCCACCATCCGTAACGTTGAAGATATATACCCAACCCAAATGTTGAAGAAGAAAAAGAAGTACGACATTATGCAGTAGAGACGGCTAAAAAGAAAAATCAAGGAAAAAACCTGTTTATTTATTATTGAAACTCTTGAACGGTAGTTGAGGTTTAGATTTTTGACAACCTACTTTCAACAGGTGTTTTTAAGCTTCCCCCTACGTGTAAATGACGTTAAGCACCTCAAGGTGCGTGCATAATTTATGGGGTGGGGCGGGAACTATGGGGATTTTACATTTTGCAATAATATTTCGGAGGAGTCAACACATTTTAGTTTTGAGGCCCTGTTACACAAAGCAATTTTTCTTTCAACTTGCAATGCAATGCTGACGAAAGTAGAGCATTGCAAGTTGCAGGTGAGAACGCTTTCTTGGTCTGCGTCATTACCGGATCATGATTTCCGCGGGTATATGGAAGAGTCACGCTCTGATTGGTCATTTGCAACAGTGATTGCATTGCAGGTTGCAAGATAGACGTAGCACGCTGCAAACGCGTTGCTTCGCAACGTAGCGAGAAGTAAAATCATTCAACGTCTTCTGCAACTTGCAACGTTGCATTGCAAGATGCAGAAAGGGGTGTTCGAAGGTTTAGTGAAACCTTGGTCGAGTTGATGTTGCAGTGCATTGTAGGAATGTTTTAAGGGACGGATCTTGGAAACATGCCCCCTTAACAATCCCACATTGTACTGCAATGTATGTCAACTGGATCCCGTTTTTCTAATAGCTGAACTTACTGGTTATTGATATTGATGGTTTTATCTGGAAAGCGACGATCCCTGAACACCAGCCTTCCCATCAAGTACTGGAAAAACCAAACACACATAGAAAGCACTACAAGAGGTCTGGATGGAGAATGTATTAAATAACACATCGTCAGTCAATCCCAAGTTTCATTAAAACATTTTACCAATAGAGACTTGTGACCACATATATCGAAATACAGCTATTTTAAACGAGGTTGGCGAAACAGTAATGATAAAAGGGTAAATTTTACACCGTGAAAAGATGAAAAAACTTACTGACGTTTCGGACGCTAGTCTAGTAGTCCTTCGTCGGAGTAAGAGAGAAAGAGGTCGTAGAAAGTTTTTTTTGCATGCTGCAATACCAAGCTTGAAATGTGTGTAGATCATGTGTAAATGATGTAGGCACACAAGGAAATATGTCGGGAAAACGTGCAGACAAAGTTTGGGAAAATTCCGAGGTGACCTTTCGCTCATTACAATTCACATTACGCATAGTGCATTACGGGCTTGATATGCGACATGCAACAATACCTTCACCAACCACTTTAAAATAGCTGCATATTTTTCCGATACTTACAGGATATGCTGCATGAGGTCCCAAAAATATGCCCAGTTCAAGAACTTTACACAGAAACCAATAAAGAAGATGACAAAAATCAAGTTTACCAAAACCAAATTGTAACCTGCAAGAAGCGAAGAAAAAATATTCGCGGCATTAGAGAAGGGCTTGATAAAAGTTACTCTTTACAGTATGGGAAAACGCAAGTGTTGCATGTAGACAGGATTGGTCATTGATTAGCGCGCTTCCATCGAGTTTAGGGAGCACGCGGCATGTTGCTAAGGACAAAGGAAGCGTAAGAGTAGCACGAGGCGTAGCCTTCTGGCCAGTGGTACACGAAACAGTTCCTTTTTATGGTCAGTAGATCTCAATACTTCCACAGGTGCTAACCAAGAAAAAATAAACTAAGAGAAGGAATCTCTAGTAGTCATGCTTGTAACCATCATAGGCACCCTTTCATGTTTTCTCTGGGTCACTTAATCACCAACACAGCAAAGGCTTCAGCATCGCGTCCGTCTTCCAGAAGTGGAATGAGTTGAAACAGTTTTTGACTGACAAAGAGATCTATCTAATGAGCACTCGAATGAAAATACTGACAGCTTCTGTTCGTCTTCGAAACGTCTAACTTACCTTGACTTAAACTACCTACTTACCCCAGCCAATGTATGCGATTTGATATCCAGGATAACTGATACTTCTAATCTGAAGAACAAGAGAAAAACCGTCTTAACTTATGGTGTAAAGTGGGTTCCGTAAATAAAACTGTGAAAAGATGTTCACGCTCCGGTCACGGTACGTACTGAGGACATCTCGACATACGAACGTAACACTCGTAGCGGATTAAATAATTGCTGTCCAGTACAATGAAACTCACATAAAAAGCCGGGGCTTAAGTCGTCAGTTACACAGAAACACAGAAACAGGTGTACTAACATACCACAAGTCTGGAAGGGCTATTACCGAGGTCTCGCTTTACTTTGTAAGACATCAGTATGTCTTCTCTGCAAAGAAAAGAAAGCGTCATAAAATGGTGAAAGTAAAAGATCAAGAAGACTTTGAAAGGAAAATCGTATTAACATATTTTCCCCTGTCCTATTGTCTCTATGCTTTCCTCCTTCTTCGTTCTGGCTTCCTCTATCTCCTTTTTCCTCTTTCTCCCCTTCCCTTCCCTCCTCCTTTCCTGCCTCTTTCCCTCGCCCTTCCTCCCTCGCTCCTTCCATTCTTCTCTCTTCTCCCTCCCTTTCTGATTCCTTTCCTGCCTCTTTCACTCGCCCTTCCTCCCTCGCTCCTTCCATTCTTCTCTCTTCTCCTTCCCTTTCTTATTCTGCCTCTTTCACTCGCCCTTCCGCCCTCGCTCCTTCCATTCTTCTCTCTTCTCCCTCCCTTTAATTCTTCTTCCTTTCCTGCCTCTCTCCCTCGCCCTTCCTCCCTCGCTCCTTCCATTCTTCTCTCTTCTCCCTCCCTTTAATTCTTCTTCCTTTCCTGCCTCTCTCCCTCGCTCTTCCTCTCTGTCTCCTTTATTTCCTCCCCCTCTCCCCCTCCCTTTCTTCTAAGCCATTTTCGTGTCCATGGTTATACAGTATTACAACATACCTGTGGCATTTCATAAAGTGTAGCATCAACAAAACAGAGAGGGCGCAAGTGAAGAAGACGGCTAAGTAGAGAGATTCTGTTGGGTTTTTAAAAACCAAGCATTGAATATTTGTGAGATACGATAATGCGTGTACATTATTTTGTTACATGGAGAGAGTTTTTGTAATGTGCGTTTGTCATGTAGACAACAACCAACCAAAACAATTAAACGACTAACTAAATCACCATGCAAACAAACCAAGAGCTTAACGAGTTAACGATTCATCAGTTCAATGCCTATTGACTTATTGACCTATCGATTGACAAACTGACCAACCGACCTACTAACCAACCGACCGACTAACCAACCAACCAATTGACTAACTGAAACTGACTGACACACAGAATGACTAACAAACTGAATCAAAACACCAATTGAACAACGACAATCGAACTCTTTACCTTGGTAGCGATGGTTCCCCATTTAGTTCTCTTTAAAATAAAATTCGTTGTTTGAGTTGTATCCGTATTCATTTGTCTTCTCATGTACAACTGTTAAATATATATGATACTCTAGAGAATGACACGTGGTCTAAGGTAAAGAGGTCTATTGCCGTTTCATAATTTCATCCGGCTGATCCAAGTCTAAAGATTCTGTCACATTATTTTGAGATCAATTACAAACAGTTCTTCTTACCTTCAACAACCTCATACACTAAAAGGAAAATGCTAAAAACATAATCATTGGTACTGCGAACTCCAGTATGCGCCAATCTTCGACGAAACTGCACGATTATTTTAGAAATAATTGACATCAGTATGGTCCAAGATACGGTCATCTGGATAACAAAATGAAAAGATTTGAAAGATGTTGAAGATGATGATGATGGAGGGGATGGTGATAATGATCATGATGATCATGATCATGATGACGGTGGTGGTAATGATCATGATGATGGTGATGATGATGATGATGGTGGTGGTGGTGATGATGATGGTAATGATAATGATGATGATGATAACGATGATGGTGATGATGATGATGGTGATGATGATGATGATGATGGTGATGATGATAATGGTGATGATAATATATTCATTTTAATAAAACAAACCGATCAGCTTAAGATAAAACGCAGCACTACCTGATAACTAATATTATAAAACATTTGAGATATAACGCGCGCGCTGATTGGCTGGCTACCTTGTTTATATCAGATGACAGAGACAAGCTCGCGCAAAATCACTCAAAAATGTTTTATAAAAGCGATATAAAACGTCCGCTTGTGTCTATAAACTGTGATATAAACACGATGGGAGCTGTAGAGCACTCGAGAAGTCAAGGGAGTGGTTCAGTACCTAATAGAGGTTTTGCACCATCACGTGCCGGCGCCATAATCCAGCTTGGACTGCCTGTGGTTAGATGACAGAACAATAAAATCCCTTTGCTCTCGGGAAATGAATTCTTTCTCATGTAAAACGATTGTATTGTTCCTGCCATCTAACATGGCTGCCGTCACGTGATGGTGCAAAACCTCTATT